ACAACGCCCTTCAAAAAAATTCATGGAAATTCCAGAATTGTTTGCAACAAAAGAAACGTATCTTTTAATCCTATTTTTACATGAACTCTTTTTGAAGTACCTCCATAACACTGCACACACAGTAACTCAGTAGTAACCATAAAAAATTGCCAAGTCAAAAAACCACTGTGTTCAGTAAAATGACCAAGAACTAAATTGTCTCACAGCTTAAATTTAAATTTATTATATAATTTGAGAATATTTTTTAACGGTGCCTCAACTTTTTCTTTTTTTTTAAATTGGAAAGGCAGATATACAGAGAGGAGGAGGGACAGAGAGGAAGACTGTCCATTGATTCACTCCCTAAGCGGCCACATTGGCTAGAGCTGTGTTGATCTGAAGCCAGGAGTCTGGAGCCTTTTCTGAATCTCTCACACAGGTGTAAGATCCCAAGGCTTTGGCCTGTCCTTTACTGCTTTCCCAGGCCACAGCAGGGAGCTGGATGGGAAGCAGGGCCCCTGGGATTAGAACTGGTGCCCGTATAGGATCCTAGCATGTTCAAAGCGAGGATTTTAGCTGCTAGGTTTCTATGCCAGGCCCAAGTGCCTCATCTTTTTAAAAATGTTTTTTTTTACCCCCTTTTAATTGTTCTTTAAGATTAATGCCTTCCTCGTTGGAACCTGGATTGCATCTGAGGCACCGTGGATATAGCAGGAGCCACTTTAGCACTTGTGCTTCCTGACTTCAGTCAACACTGAAGGGAGACACAGTGCTTTGATGACTTTCATTTAATGCAGGGAAGCCAGGAGGGAGGTGCTCATCGACCCAGCTTGAAAAGGGCAGAATTCAGACTTAAAACTAGGCAGACTGACATTTAGCTGTGGTCTTTATCCCACTGTTTCTATGCCTCAGTATACCTGCTGCAGTGACTATGTGAAGAAAACCGGTTGTCGGGATACTTACTACCACTGCTACAAATGGCTCCTGGAACTGCTGATTGAGCATCTGAGTGCTGACATCAATGCCAGAGAGCCAGCAGCCGTAGCCCGGGTGGCTGTGGTACCAGCCAATCGCATTTTCAAGGCGGCCCACCTGTAAACAGAGACCACAACAGTGCTTGAGGTTCTCTTGTCATTTATCTGTTTACACAGCATGGCAAACTAACAGTACGCAGACTAGTTTAATAGCATATCTTGCTTTCAAGTTTTGATTTTGAGAAGAAATACATGTGAAAACTGCAAATTTAAAGTACAACTTCAGGAAGAGTATTTAGTTTTGTTTCTATTATTTTTCCTCTACGATCCAATTTCTCAGCTCAGGATTTATATCCACAGTCAGTTACTTACCTACCCCACTAGATAATCTTAATATATGTGTAGGTTAACAATATAAACACACACACATAACAGTATGATACAGCTTTATAATTTGCTTTTTCAAAGTATTCTGGATTTTGCTTCAGATTAGTCAATATGCAGGTAGCTACCATTTGTTTTACTTTATTAAAGGTTCATTTATTTTTGCTGGAAAGTCAGATTTACAGATTTACACTGGCTCACTCCCAAGTGGTCACAATAGCTAGAGCTGAGTGAATCTGAAGCCATGGGTCAGGAGCTTCTGCTGGGTCACTCAAGCCAGTGCAGGGCCCCAAGGCTCTGGGCCATCCTCTACTGCTTTCCCAGGACACAAGCAGGGAGTTGGGATGGGAAGTGGAGTAGCCGGGATACGAACCAGTGCCTGTATGGGGTCCTGGTGCATGCACAGTGAGGATTTAGCCACTGAGCCATGATGCAGGGTCTGCTACTTTTTTTTTTTTTAAGATTTACTTATTTTTATTGGAAAGTCAGATACATAGAGAGAAGGAGAGCCAGAGAGGAAGATCTTCTGTCTGATGATTCACTCCCCAAATGGCCACAATGGCTAGAGCTGCACCAATCGAAGTCAGGAGCCAGGAGCCTCTTCTGGGGTCTTCCATGTGGCTGCAGGGCCCCAAGACTCTGGGCCATCCTCCACTGCTTTCCCAGGCCACAAGCAGGGAGCTGGATGGGTAGTGGGGCTGCCGAGACTAAAATTGGTACCCATATGGGAGCTTGGTGTGTGCAAGGTGAGGACTTTTAGCCACTAAACTACTGTGCTGGTCCCTGCTACTTTTTTTTTTAAGGCTCTGATGACTATATCATAATTTATTCAACTGGTTTTATTTTAAGAAACAATTTTTTCCGAATTTCTGAGTTTAAACAAGTCTGATCATGAGTCTGAGAGTTGGGAGGAGAAACAAGCCTTTTATGAGGCTTATGCTCACATGTATTTTATATAGATATTACATTACAAAATATAAAATCTAACACTGAGAGGACAGCTTTGAGTTCAGAATCTCATTAATTTACCCACTGTGACCATATTTTAAGAAACAAGATTTTTACCTGTTTGGCGTTTTCTATGTATGCAGCCATGTACTCATACGCAGCAGCCTGAGCATTTACTCGGGTTTCAGTGCCCTCTACAGGCAAAGCAAAACTGTCCATAATGATCATGGTTTCACCATCCACCTTCCCCAGCATCAGGCCCATCACTTCCAAGTTGCCTCCCGACCTGGCATGCATCACCATTTTCAGTAGAGCCAACGCTGAGATTTTGCAGTACTTAAAGTAATGGTGACTACAAATAAAACCATGGCATAATTATATTTCTTATGTGAAGTAAAATATCCAGTCCCTCCCCTCCCCAAATAATAATTACTACAAGAAATTACATTGATGTAAGGGGTGAGAAGAATGTGGGAAGAAAATGGAAGCAGTAAAGGACAGACTACCTGCATGGGTCTGGAAATACCAACCATGTTACCATCCTGCAAAATATTCCCCCTTGGGAAAGGAAAAGTTAGAACTAATTGTCCCTATGCTCCCAACACGCTATACACAGGAGGAAATAACACAATCAATTCTATAGACTTTTTCTGTATTAATTTCTAAAGATTAAATCTCTTATGGTTGTATCTAACTCTGCTTAGGCCTAACTTTTTGGACTAATGGTTTAGAATGCGGGCTCTGACATCTGCATGCCCAAGTTTCTCCGAATTCCTTAGCTGTGACCATAGGATAGCCACTTAATGTTTGTGTGTCTGACATTAAACTGTTTCAGCATAAGAAGGGCTATTCCACAGTTCTTAGGGCAACATGAAATGTTTAGCTTTAGTGCCTGACTCATCCTAAAACCGTAGTAACTATATTTTCAGTAGTATTAGTGTCTCTTGCAGAGACACTCTCAAACAACTCACACACTCTGCACTCTCAAACAACAGTATTTTGAAGGGTGTGGCTTCCCGCTATGATAGCAACCTCAAAATGCAAGAATGTCTCTCATATCTTTAGTTCTCCCGCGATCACTACTTCTGATTATATCAATGGTGGTTGTAAGTAAACTTTGAAGTCTGACACAGCCCGTAAAATATGTACTCAAAGCTGCAATCAGACAGTGCGGCAAACTGATGGCCTCCAAACCTTCAGCAGATGAGCTCACCCTAAAATGTGCAGCCTGCTATAGGAGTAGGCAACCAGGCAAGCTAACAAGCCTGGGCGCAGTGGTCCGCTGGCCAGGGCTGCAGAGTCAGCTCCCTGCCACTGGAAAAGCCCATGAATTTCATTCCCAGCCTGGCCAGCCACAAGCTGAAAAAATATGGAGGTCTGGTGTTAGAAGTCATGATGACAAAACTGAGGCTCATATTTCAACTGGGAAGAGAATAACTATTATTGTGCTCCTAGGACATGCTTTCTAGAGTCATTTTTATGCAACATCTCATCTAATCACCAAAAACAGGCAGGTCTTAGTTCTATTTTACAGATGAGCGAAGATGGACAGATAAGTTTTTCTAAGGTCAATCAGTTAGGGATAATTGTGAGACTTGGTCTTACATTTACTACCACAGTAATTACATGTATTTTCCTTCTTTTTTTTTCTTATTACAAAAAGGAATCACAGTACAGTATTGGATGTCATGAAAATTAAACGACATGGAAATCCTTAAATCATCATCATCTTCAAAAAGATGGTTCAGAGCTTTTTTAAGACACTTGAGCTCCACACTTAACCTCTGAAAGCAGCTGCAGTCCCTGCCAGGGACCAGCTGAAGCCCCCGTCAGGGCCCACACAGGAGTCGAGGCAGACAGGCAGACAGGATGGTAAAGGATGGTGCAAAGCGAGAGCCACTGCTCGGGGGTCGTCCCTTGCATCCTCCGGAGGCAAACGAGTTAGACAGAACAGGGAGTCACAGCAGGCCTCCCGGAGGAGCTGACACAGCACGTGAGGGGATAAAAGTGGATCCGAATCTCTCTCCGGTGCACAACCTCCCCTCCTCTCCCTCCCCCGTTCCAACTCGCACTCTCCCACCCCGGGGTCTCCAAATCTCCGACCGCCCCCCGACCCTCCCCTGAGCGTCTCCAGGGACCTTCTTACTCCTTAGTCCAGGGCTTCGCCGCCAAGATTTCTTGCTGCTGTTTCTTGTCGTATTTGTAGATCTCATCGATACTTTGTGTTTCCTGCATGTTGTTGGCCAGTTCCCAGGTCTTCTGGGCCATTCCGCTCCCGGACGCCGCCATCGCCGAGGAATTAGAAAAGCTGTCGCCTCCGCGACCGAGACGCAGCTTGACTTCACTAGGTCTCCGGGTGTGGGTTTGGACCTTTCCAATCTCAGGTGCAAACTCTCATTGCACTCTCCTGGCAGCCATGACACCCAACACCGGAGGTGAAGTTGGTACGGACCATTCGTGGGTGGAGGGGGCAGTCCGCGGAAGAGGCCAGAAACTGGCAGCTACTAGAATAGCTGCGGAGAGAGGAATATTATTGTGACTTAAACGAGAACGTATCATCTCGGAAAGTGTATGTACGAAACAGGGCAAACACAGTGATTTGGAATGGGAATGGTATAGCCTTCCCCACCGGAAGAAGGGCATGTAAACGTTATGCCTGAAACTGGCGTGGCCTCATTGCTGGCAATGCGCAGGCGCATCCCGACAGATTAAATGTGGGTGGAGCTGAGAGAATGACGTTTTGGCGGGCGGGGGCAGCTACTTGGGATGGAAAGTTGCTTGGAAAAGCCTAGGAAAAAGAAAAAAAAAAAAGGAAGGTTGCGGAGAAATTGAAATGTAAGTACTGGAAGCCGTTTGAGAGCGAGCTAAATGTAGCCTCGTGTTTTCCTTGCCCGCGCGTGGAGCCGCGGCTCGGGGAGCGTGGCGCGTGGATTTCGGTGGGCGTTTTCTCGCCCGGGGAGGAGGAGGAGAAGCCGGTGAGCTGCCCCGGCCCCCGGCGAGCTGCTCCAGCCCCCGGCGAGCTGCCCCGGCCCCCCGACGAGCTGCCCCGGCCCCCCAACGAGCTGCCCCCGCCCCTGGCGAGCTGCCCCGGCCCCCCGACGAGCTGCCCCGGCCCCTGGCGAGCTGCCCCGGCCCCCGGCGAGCTGCCCCGGCCCCCGGCGAGCTGCCCCGGCCTCGGACGAGCTGCCCCGGCCCCCGGCGAGCTGCCCCGGCCTCGGGCGAGCTGCCCCGGCCTCGGGCGAGCTGCCCCGGCCCCCGGCGAGCTGCCCCGCGGGCGGCCAGTGTGGTGAGGACGGCGTGCTGGACCCAGGTCCGGGCTGACCTCAGCTCATCCCGGCTGCTGGCTCATGCGTATAGGGTCTCCCCTCCCTTCCCCTCTTCCCCCTCCATCTGATCTCATTAGGCTTTACGTTTCAAGACGCAGGGATCAGGTGTGTATTATTTCATGTCTAACTATGTAGGTGTTAGGGATAAAAAAAAAAACCAGTTGTATTTTGCGGGAAAAAGGAAAACACCCAGTTTGTTGTAGCCTAGTCCCTACGCACCTCTCTAGTGCCATCTCTGCAGTTCCCTTTGAAACTTTTCATCCCAGCGTTGCAGATACCCCTGCTTTGACTTAACGCGCACCGCTCTGATGCGGTCAGCATCACTTTTTTTTTTTTTGCCTGGAAGCTCATATAAATCTAGCAGGACAGGGCTGAGGTCTCTCCAATCTTGTCCCCGTCACATGGCATTGTAATTAACTGCGAACATTGGTGTACATGCAAATCCCCCCCACCCCCCGTAAGCTTCAGTAGGCGCCACTTCTAGATGGTGCGTGGCAGTTTATTGAATAGCAATAAGATCTCCTTGCAAAATGAGGCTGCATAAACTAGAACCGCTAGGGGACATCAGTATCCTGGTTCCACTTTTGCAAGCTCAGTAATCCTCCGCGGGAGCATCTGGTTGCTCTTTATCGGGGTGACCAGACTCCCGGCTGAGTAGAGCCTCGCCCAGTGCGTGGGTGTTTCTCCCCTTGCGGCTCTTGGTCCCCCGGTTCTGGGATCCAGTGGGAAGGGTCTGAGTCGCCTCCACCCGGGCGGCCTCCGGGGCGGCAGGGGGCGCCCTGGCCGGGCGGCGCGGGGCGGGCGGAGGGGCCGGGCCGAGAGGCGGAGTCCGGGCCGGGTTGCCGCTGGTGACCGTGTCCCCGCGCCGCGAGGCCGCCGCCGCTCTCGGGACCGCGCGTTTCCCTGGCCGGGGGCTTGCTGCTGCGAGGAGGGCAGCGGGCCGCAGGTGGGCAGCCTGCGTGGGGTGCGGGTGTCAGGGCTGCATTCGCGGGCCCGTTGGACGAGGCGCGCTGCCGGGGTTACAGGGTTCCCTGCCCGTGGGGTCTCCCGGAGGCGGGAGTGGGGTCTCCGGGTCGGGTTCTCGGGGCGCTGCCTGGGGTGCAGGGACGGGACTTGTGGGCCGGCGGCGCTCCGGGGACGCGGGCGGGCCTCCCGAGCCGCCGCCGCTGCCTCGGTCTCCTCGGAAGTTGTGGCGAGCCGGTTGCCTGACAACGGCTGGACGCTTCCCGGCCAGGTACCCCGGGCGCCCGGCTCCCCCGGGCCTGCACTCCCCCAAGGCCGGGCTGCGTCCCCCTGCGCCTGGGTAATGCTTAACTTGGGAGTGCTTGCAGCGATTTGCTTTTCAAGTGGAATTGTTTAATCTTTATCTCGGCGCTATGAGATCAGTGCTGTTAATCCTGTTTTCCTTGAGCTTGAGCCTTTTCCTGATTTTCCGATTTTAGGATGATTGTTTGGAGTTTAAAACCAGTAGTGTGCAGTGAACGTTAGGACTGTTTCATCGTTTGAGAGAGGTTGGCTCTCCAGAGTATAGGAGTAAGAAGCTTAATTAGGCTTTGAGGGAAGGCTGGATTCTGAAGTGAGCCGCCATCTAGTTTCCAAGCACCTGAGAAGGTTCAGGGCCCTACAAGCGACCAGTAGGAGTTTATGAATGCCAGTTAAACCCCTGGGAGGTTGTAGTTTATAGCAAAGAGTGGCTTGTCGTCTTGTCAAGCAAAAAAAAAAAAATCCCACGGAAGCAAGCAAAATGCTTTCTTTCTATTATTCTATTTCCTAGAATCACTTTTTTGCTTTCTCATCAAATACCTATGGGAATATTCCTCCAGGAAGAAGTTTTGGGTTTCTAGCAGCACCATTGATCCAGGAGCAGTTGCTGTATTTAGGCAAAATATACCAAAACAGGACACTATCAGAAGTTTTTTTTTTTTTTAAATTTAATTTTAAGACAAATGCTACTGCAGTGTATTTGAACAGATTTCAGAGTATTCTTTCAATAGCTAACTATAATTTTGATATGTTTTCCTGAGTAGTAGACAAAGGTGTGTTGAAGAAATTTGTTTGCATTTTGGCAATACCCAGAAGGTATCTCATGTGTATTTGTATGCTGCTTCCTAAGTCACCGTTGACTATATCTTCTATATCTTGTGTAGTTTTTTGTTGAACTGTTTAGTTGGCAGAGCAATGGAGGGAGAAGGAGCGTTCCTTCATCTGCTGATTCACGCACCGAAAAGCCCACAGGTGCCGTGGGGGGTGGAGGCTGCGAGCTTTGAACTCCCAGCATGGAGGGCAGCTGTCTCCTACTGCCTCTCAGGCTGTGTTAACAGAACTGTGGCCCCACCTGAGCCACAGCTTAGTCCCAGGCACTCCGAGGAGCTGCAAGCAAGATTGTAACTGCCAGGTCACCTGTGCGCTCCTTAATGATTATCGTAATCACTGGTAAATCTGGGTCCCCTGGGTGTTGAGTTTCAGATGTATTTAATGAAAAGACATATTTTTTTCTTTCTTGTATCCCATATGGGCATTCTTAGTAGCTGCTGAGAGACTTGAAAAGATTTTCTGTATTTATTCATTCAGTTTATCCTGTCTTCTGACTTCTCTGCCCGCCAAAAGCGGGCAGGGTATCTGTGGGTATTTGCATCTACCCTTGGGAATAAATTGCTGTTATTGGCGTCAGAAACCTTGTACTGGTTGCCTCATCCCTCCCCTGTCTTCTAAGGCTCTTTCCCAGGACTATATATTATATATCTGACTTCTTAATTTGTTTCTGTTCTGATCTAGGGTCCCTTTCTCCAGATAGCCTCTTCTCTCAGTTTTAATGACTTCTAAAAATATCGTTACTTGATAAGTGTGTGCTCACAGGAACACAGATCTTCTGTGTTGGTTCACTTACCAAGTATCTGCAACAGCTGGGGTGGGCCTTGTTAGAGCTGGGCCCCTGGGACTCGGTCTGTGTCTTCCATGTTGATGACAAGGACTTCTTGAACCTTCATCTGCTGCGTTGTGCACTAGCAGGAAACAGGCTTTGAGCCCAAACCCTGTAATATGGGCTGCAGCTGTCCTAAGCAGCATGTTAGCTGCTACACCAAGATGCCTGCTTCCTTAGTGACTTTTAATCCCTGTTCAATCTTTATATCCTGGGATTGGTGTGATGGCTTACCTGGCTAATCTGCACGCGCTGGCATCCCATATGGGTGACAGTTCTTGTCTTGGCTATTTGCAGTTTTGGCTCAGTTCTCGGTCTATGGCCTGGGAAATCAGTGGGGGAATGTCCCAAGACTTTGGGACCCTGTATCTGTGTGGGAAACCTGGAAGAGTCTCTTGGCTTCAGACAGCTCAGATCCAGCCACTGCAGCTTTTTGGGGAGTGAACCAAATGGAAACTGGAAAAAGATGGAAAATCTTTCTCTCCTTCTTTCTGTAAATCTGTCCAATAAAAATAAACTAAAAAAAAATTTTAAATTAAAAGATATTTTCATATCCTTCTTAGGTTTTGTTTGGAATTCTGGATATTCAAATCACTTTTTCTTTCTCACATTCAGCTCCTAAAAACCCGTTCTAACTAGATCTGGAGGCGAAGGTCATCTTCTCTGTGCTTTTTGAGTATCTAGCATGGTGTTCTGTTTGAGAGAGGAAACATTTTCCTTCTCATGCTTCTGTGGTGCGGAATAAATTTACACTCAGGGAAAAGCATGGGAGCAACATTGCTTTGTGATTTATAAACATGGGAGAGAATCACTCATATTCACCATTTAGGTCCTTTTTGCTTTCTGAATTTGTAAACACTGTATGTTGTGATCTGCTCACAGTTACAAATATATGTTAAGTGTAAAGGACCCAAGAGATATTGGTTGGCATTATGCTAAGAGTCAGTTGTTACCTGTGTTGTGGTATAGTGTGTAAAGCTGCTACCTGCGCTGCTGGCATCTTTCTGTGAGGGTCCTGCCTGATCCACTTCAGATCCAGCTCCTTGGAAAAAGGAGTGGAAGATGGACCAAGTGCCTGATCCCCCTCTGCCGGTGTAGGGATAACTCCCGGCTCCTGGTTTAGGTTTGGCTCAGTCCTAGACTTTGTGGGCAGTTTGAGTGAACCAGCAAATGGATCTCTTGTCTTTCCCTCTTTGGGTCTGGAACTTTCTTTCAAATGAATACTTTGTTTTAGAGTCAGTTATTGGTGATCTACATCCCATCATGCTGAAGTCTGCAGGCTTTCTTGTTAAAAGGTACATGTTTACATATACAAAGACTGAAAACACAATACTTGGTAAAATGCCTAATTTGTTAGTTTCTGGGTGTCAGGTTCTGTTTTATGCCTTTTATATAAATTATTGTAACCCATTGTACAGATGGGGAATATGCGGCGTAGAAAGAGGATGACAGACATTTGCTGTCAGTCGGCCAGTGATGGAGATGGGTTTCAAATCCAGCTTTTCCAGTTACCTTCTACAATTTGCGTATACAGCTGTTGGGGGGAAGAACTTGTTAATATAATGTCCTGAAAAATGTTATAATTTTAC